AATTGATATTTAAGTTTAATAAGTCACGAAAAAGTCCCGGAGAATTCAATGTCATTTTCAAGCAACCCAATATTCTAACCAGGCAGATGCTTAAAAACTGTCTGTAAAATCCTGATCCCTCCTCCTCCTGCTTCATGGCAGCTGCCAGAGGAAGGAGTAGGAGGTCATGCATAAAAGTGCCTGTGAATCCTGTCAGATACATTAGGAATGCCAGCCCGGCAAGGAGTGGCAAGAACCAAGATCTTTCTCGAGCTGGCAACAGGTTTCCTGAAGGAAAACCTGATTATTTCTGATGGTTTCTGTTAATGAGCCACAAGGCCCGTATGAATCCTTGGAATGGGTGGAAAGAACAGAAACTTCTGTGTCACGTAGCAATTCCCAGGAGAGAGAGATTCTGCATTACAACGGTTCCCTTTGTACCAGCAGAGAGGCATTTGCAAAAAAGTCCAGGTTCTTGAGTTTTCTTATGAAAGTGCTTGAGTTTCCTGGGCACAGTTCCAAGATTTAACTCAAAGTATGAGGGAACTGGTACCTCTGTGCTCTCAGCTTTGGTGAGAATACATTTAGGCAAATCTCTGAGGAAGCTCAGCCGCTGACTCGTACAACCACATTTATTATTAAATACGATGGGATCTGTTTATTCACCCCAGCAGCGATCTGTGCTTCCACCTTGGAGCTGAAGGAGAAAATAAACTCTGCAGCCTGACCCATGCAGGAGGCTGGAAAAGGGAGAGAGAAGTGGCAAAAAGCTCTGGGTGACGTTTATTCTTTCCCTCTGGACCTGCTGGCGCCTTCCAGCCCTGCCCTGCGAGTGAAAGCACCTGTGGGCAGTGGGGGAGCTTCTTGGTGAATTTGCTAAGCTCAGCAGTTTTGTGGGAAGGTATTTCCCTCTGGGATATCAGAAACAACAGATGGTTTCCCGGGTGTTCGGCAGAACTGACTTGCTCAGGTGCAGATGTCGCATTTTGTACCTTGAGATTTCACTTCCAGGAACTGCTGCAGCAATCCTAAATGCAATCCTAAAGAGCTGCTCTATTGCCAGAGACACCTGAGCAAAGGCTGATGGTACAAATGTGTTCCTGAGCACTTTGCTGTTACGGTTCATAAGTGGTGGGTGGGGTTTCGTTGTTGTTGTCTGTTTCTTTGTGGGTTTCTTTCAATAATTTTAAAATTCGGCTGTTTTGTCCATGTAAAAGCTTTGTCTTTTCTCATATTTCGTTTTTCTTAGCCTTAAACATCGAGGCCAGGTTGGATGGGGCTCTGAGCAAGCTGTTCTAGTGGAAGGTGTCCCTGCCCATGGCAGGGGGGTGGAACCACATTATCTCCAAGGCCCCTTCCAATCCAAACCATTCCATGATTAAATGTCTGATTACAGTTGTACAGAACTAAACTCCATGACCAAGGGAAACAGAGTCCTAAGGCAAAGCACATGTCAGGAGTCACATTTATAGCACAGAGATGAGTTCCCCCATTCAGAAGGTCACCAACCCCATTCCTCAGGGCTCAGGCAGGGGAATAAATGTAAAGTGCTGAATTACACAACACATGAGGCAAAAGTGTCTCAGAGAGTCAGAGAACACACAGCTCCTGTGCTATTCAGAGTAAGGAAGACTGTGCAGTACTTTCTGTACAGCCTCCTTCTATGTTTGGTTTCTCTGCATCAGCAGCTTCTGATCATTTTTTTTTTTTTTGCTGTTGGTATTTATGTTTTATTCCCCGTGGGCACATCTGGACAAGATGTGGGTGTTGATAGTACAACAATACAACAATACAACAATAATCTACTTCCAGGATCATGGTAGATGGATTTTTTTCATTATAGTGCCTGAAGAGCCGTGGAGTGAAGCAGAAAGGCACCTTCTGCCAGTACAGCGCTGGAGCTTGTTCCTACCATGCGATTGTATAATTCTTCTTGATTTCAGACTCAGCAGTTTGCTGATGACACAAAGCAAACCAAGGGTGATCTTTTATAGCCAGTTTAAGCATCATGATATGAAGCTCGATAGCTCCGGCCATATGGAGACACATTTCCACCCAGACGTGTCCTGAGTGTGTCAGAGGATGCTCTCTTGGGTTTGACTCTCACTTAAAGAACTTGCTAAGAGCTCTACATTGTCGTGAGATAAGTCAGTTTGGACCATTTCTTCCATTTACTTACGATTTTCTCACCATCTCTCTTCTCTCCTCTCCCCTCCCTCCCCTCCCTGTCGCTGTTGTTCTCTCCCTGTAGAGCTCTCCGTCAGCCTCCTTGCAGTGATAGTTATTGTGTGTGGCCTGGCCCTGGTGGCAGTGTTTCTGTTTCTCTTTTGGAAGCTGTGCTGGGTTCCCTGGAGGAACAAGGCCCTCTCCTCTAACCTGGCCGTGCTGCGGGGCGAGGCAGGCTGCGCCAAGGACGGCATGGCAGACAAGCTCAAGGACACGGGGGCCATCAGCTTCCTGGAGGCAGCGGTGAAGATCAGCCACACGTCCCCAGACATCCCTGCAGAGGTCCAGATGTCCATGAAGGACCACATCATGCGGCGCACGCGGATCCAGAGGCAAACCACGGAGCCGGCGTCTTCCACCAGGTGAGCCAGGGCTTGGGATGCTCGGAAGGGATGAGGTCAGAGCTCCTCGGGGTCTGCAGCTTCCTCTCGAGGGGCAGTGGAGGGGAGCACTGATCTCTGTGAGTAGTGACAGAACCTGAGGGAATGGCTGGAGCTGTGTCAGGGGTTGGATCTCAGCGGAAGGTTCTTCCCCCAGAGGGTGGTTGGCACTGAACAGGCTCCCCAGGGCAGTGGGCACAGCCCCAAGGCTGCCAGAGCTCCAGGAGTGTTTGGACAACGCTCTCAGGTGGGATTGTTTGGGTGTCCTGTGCAGGGCCAGGAGTTGGACTGGATGATCTTTGTGGTTCCCTTCAAACTCAGGATATTCTGTGATTCTGTGATTCTGCTCAGCAGGGACAAGGTGCTCAGCAGTGATGGGGTGCTCAGCAGGGACACTGCTCTGTGAGCAGCTGGACAGGCAGGAGGATTGCTGAATGAAGCTGGAGGTTCAGGTACCATCAGGGAGGCTAAAGAAAGCACCTACACTCTGGATTACTGTCCCAAGATTGGCCATTAACCAATTAATGTGTTAAGACTGGCTTACCGTGGGCCTTTTTAAAAAATCAGGGATTCAAGCCCTGTTACTGTGACTTGACCTCATTGTGTCAAGTCACCCGCATGCTTTGGCCACTTTAATTTTGTTCCAACATGAGAGGCAGGCTGAAGTATCAATGATGTGCTCTGTCAGACAGAATTAGACCTTTTGGCTCGCTCTCGCTGCCGTGGCTCCGAGCAGGAACAATTAGATCAGCAGAATTGATGTATCGCTCAGTGCACAAGCTCAGAACCAGCTGCGCCCGGTGCTTGTGCCCATCTCCATCTCAGCCAGGGAGAGAGACATCAAATATCCTCAGGAAACGGAGAAAGGCTGCACAAACCTTGGGACACCTTCTGGGCAGGAATACTGAGCAGAGGTTTCAATCAGATGTGAGGAAGGAGTTCTTTGCTCGGAGGCTGGGGAGGACCTGGTGCAGATTGCCCAGAGGAGCTGTGGTTGCCCCAGCCCGGGGAGTGCCCAAGGCAAGGTTGGACGGGGCTTGGAGCAACCTGGGCTAGCGGAAGGTGGAAAAAGATGGGCTTTAAGGTCTCTTTAAAACACAAACCATCCTGTGATTCTATGAAATGCAGTAGCTCTCCTTGACACAGGAGGCGGTGAAACGGGGACAGGAAGGGGTGATGGCAGGGTCCTGGCTGTGCCCCAGCACTTCTGTTTGCTTTGCTGGCCATGCCTGTGGTGTGAGAGGGAGAGCAACTGTGAAAACAGACACTGCTCAGAAAATTGGCTGCATTTCTGCAGAACTGGTGAGGCACCGACCGCAGCCTCCTGTTTGACGTCGCTGGAGTTAAATCACCGCGGCGCCACCTGCAATCGTGCCACACGCTCTTTCATTTATCCACACGGCTCCTTGGACTGCTGCTTCCCTCCCTGCACGCACGTGATCATTCTGTTTTTATTGCACTTCTCCAACAGAGGAGGAAAAAAAAAAAAAACACAAAACCTCAGCCTGTCTGAACTAGGACAAACAAAGTGGGACTCGGCTGTACGTGGGCAGGTCTCAAACCCACTTTCTCCTTGGCAGGTTCCTCTGATTCACAGCCCAGCCTTATTCCTCCGAGGAACCTGCCAAGGAGAGCACCACGTACCACCAAAAGCTAATGCTCTGGCTGCACCAGTTCTTGGTTTGGTTAAGTAACTCCACAAACTGCTCTTGTAAACACCAGATAATCTGAAATAATGCCGTGAGTCCACAGAAAGCTTTTATGCTTTGCTTAGATAAAGCTTTGCTTACACGCAGCTCCACTTGTGCTGGAGGGGAGCTCAAGGCAAGAGATGATTCCTGACAAGGTTGTGCCCTCCTCCCTGTCAGCAATTATCTATCAGTTTCTGATGAGTCTGTTAGAAAAGACTGGAAGCAGCAATACCCAGCAAAGTCAATTGGATGGGGCTTGGAGCAACCTGGTCTGGTGGAAGGTGTCCCTGCCCATGGCAGGGGGTAGAATGAGATGAGCTTTAAGGTCTCATCCTTCCAACCCAAACCATTCTGGGATTCTACAGATAAAACCTCACCTTCTGAACTGGTCATGCTCACAAAGAAAAAAAAAAAAAAAAAAGGTGTTTTTTTTTGCCTGAGAGAACTTGGTGTCAGTATCCTGGAAGTGAAAGGACTGAGGGTGGGAAAAGTCTGGGTTGGTTTTGGTCTGGTTAAGGAGTTGTCAGGGCTCATCTGTTCAACTTTGGGCTGTGACTTGTGCAACCGGTGAAAAAATGCAGCTTGTTGCAAATACTCAGGAATTTAAAAGATTTGCTGGATGGGTTCCTTCAAGCTTTTTGGAGGTGTTCCCCTCAGCGTTCAGTCTCCACAACACACACGTGATTTCTGTGCTGAGGTCGGGAGGACCAGCCGAACCCCTTCTTGTGCTCTCCCGCTTTCCGAGCTTGGTATTCCAGGGGAGGGAAAAGGCGAGAGGGATGTCCTTGGACAACCACACAGCTGTCGTGTGTCTCCCACCTGCAGGCACATCTCCTTCAAGAGGCACCTCCCCCGGCAGATGCACGTGTCCAGCATGGACTACGGCATGGACTCCCCGGCCGTGGCCGAGCAGCCCACCAGCATCGGCCGCATCAAGCCCGAGCTCTACAAACAAAAAACCGTCGACACCGAGGACCCCAAAAAGGAGGCGGAGAAAACCTGCGGGAAAATCAACTTCACCCTCAAGTACGACTACGAGAACGAGACGCTGACCGTCCGGATTCTCAGGGCTTTTGACTTGCCAGCCAAAGACTTCTGCGGCAGCTCGGACCCCTACGTGAAGATCTACCTCCTGCCCGACCGCAAGCGCAAGTTCCAGACGCGGGTGCACAGGAAGACCCTGAATCCCACCTTCGACGAGTCCTTCCACTTCCCCGTGCCCCACGAGGAGCTGGCGAGCAGGAAGCTCCACCTGAGCGTCTTCGACTTCGACAGGTTCTCCAGGCACGACATGATAGGGGAGGTTATCCTGGAGAACCTGCTGGAGGACTCGGACCTCTCCCGGGAGACTTCCATCTGGAGGGACATTCAGTACGCCACGACGGTGAGTGTGTGCCGGGGAGGGTCAGCTCTGCCCTGGCAGCCTGTGTGGGGTGGTGTGGGGTGGTGTGGGGTGTCTGGCAGGTACCAAGAGTGTGCTGAGCTGCCCCAGGGCAGGACAGGCTGGGACTCACTTACCCCAAAGGGGTGAGTCCCGCACAGCTCCCGGCTGATGGGTTCATCTGCCCCCCTGCAGATGGTCCCGTTAGCCCTGGGGAGCTGCAGCTGTGGCACCAGTGTCTGCCATGTGCACATGGGGACAGTAAGACGTGGTGACACTGGCCTCTGGAGGGCCGGTGGGAGTTGCTGGGCTTTGCTGCACTGCGGGATGTCAGATTTGCTGCCCACAGAGGTGGCTTTGGGTCTTTTAGCAGTTCTGTTGAATTCCCTCTGAAAGAGAGGCCAAGCCTCAGGGAAGTCCCAGTTCCTTCAGTGTCACACGGAGCTGGCAAGGGAAGCCACTCCTCACATTGATCACTGAGTGCAGAGCAATGGCATTAACCTTCCACAATAGCTGTCTGTTCCTCCACTGCCCTCCCTGGAGGACCTGGCTGGTTCTGGGGGCAAATGAATGATTGAGCTGCTTTGCAACTGGACACCAAGTCCACCACTGTCTTTGTTATTTCTGAAACTGAGATATGAGTCACCCATTCTTCCACTGTAGTGTGTTCAGAACTTTCTAACAGAGCTGTGAGGTCTCACACACGTGCCCAGCACTGTGTCCTGTGCTGCTGTGCCCAACGGGGACATCATCCCAGGCCCCACAGGGAGCACAGTGTGCATGCAGGACATGCAGGATTTCAGCCCTGGAAGGTGGCTCTCAGGCTAGAGCTGTCCTGGCAGGGCACAGAGAGCTTTTCCCCTGCCAGTCTGAGGACATGGAGGTGGATGTGATGCCTGCCAGGCACTCTGGGGCTGCTGCTGTGATGCCTTTCGAGCATCTTGCCTGGAAGTGCTGTGGGAGGGAGGCACAGGATCAACCACCAGGAAAGGCAGTGGTGTTAGCAGGGAGCTCACAGCTCTTGGCTTTCAATCCACCAATAGCCACGGCTGCTATGACTGATGGATGGCAATGAAAGGAAAAATGCTGGCAAAGAGTCAAGGAGGCACCAGGTACATCCTTCACCTGGCAAAGGGCTGCTGGGAGGGGAACAGGGTGCATCAGATGTGCTGATGCCCCTTGGAGGAATCTACCCATCGGCTCTGCAAGAAATAATGGGTGTTTTCCTAATTAACTAAACTAATTTAAGGGGGGGAAACCAGACAAGAACAGGTGGAGACACACCAGCAGGAGGGTTGTTGAGGGAAAAACCTCCAAAAAAGGTGTGAGAGGAGCAGAGCCAACATCCTGCCCAAGGTGTGCAGGAGCCTTGCAGAGCTCCCACGGACACTCCAAGTGCCACACTCGGCTCCATCCCCTCATTCTCCCTGTGCCATTCCTAAGGAATGGGCTGATCCTGGTACGTCTCAGCCAGTTGTAGCACACCCAAGGACATTTCTGTTTAATCAAAATTGAGAAGGGTAAGTACAGTTTTCATAAAACCCAGAGAGAGCTCTGGGTGACTAATAATACATTAGATCAATCGTGTGGGGAAGAGGATGGGAACACACTTAGGCAAAGATCTAGGCTAGTCAAATAGCCAGCACTCAGCTGCTTAATTAATGACTGTACAGCTTGTGAATCAGTGAAACACTTTGGGTTTCAAGTCTGCAAAGGTTATTGATTCAGAGCTTCCATTATTTCCTAAAAGGTACTGATATGAATTTTGGAAATGTCCCAGTGTCTATAATCTGCAAGAGAATAATGTACCCACAGGACACGCTTCGCTCTCTTGTATTTATGGCTGCAAAGAAAAATCTCTTGCCCTGATACATGGAGGTCAAGGAACAATTTATGTTCATTTTATAGCCTGAATAGGTCCTCTCAGTGCCAGAAGAGGAATAGAAGATGAAGTGGTGTCCAGCATGTGCTCTCTCCATCTCACATAGTCAGTGATGTCTCTTCTGACATGTGTGTCCAATGTTTCCTGCCCCTCACCCCTCCCAAACCAGCTAAGAACAAGGAATGCATGAAAGAACCGACCCAGCCAAGAATAATGATTTTATATAATATTCATTAGTATTCTGCACATCTAAGTGGAATAAAGATTTAATCTTTGCCTTACCTGAGAACGTGCAGGAAATAATTTGGCAAAAATCTCATCCATCAACAAGATCTATTCCCCTAACACTTAGCAAAGCTTTAAGTGCATTTACTTGTCTTCCTGGTTCCATCACTCCACTACTAACAGCTACAAATTTCTTCTCAGCAGATCATTATATCACATTGAAAGGAATCAAACACAGCTCCCGAAAATAAACGGGTTGTTTGCTCTACAGATGTGGGATCTGTATGTGGGAAATAAGATGTTTTTCTTTTTAATCCATTTTTAGAAGGTGTTTGGAAATCTTTCTGCTGACTTCAGATAATGATGCTTTCTAGTTTAAGAAAGGCATTTGGGTTGTTGATTTTTTTTTTCCCTCCCCTGAATTCCCCTGGGCAAGGCAACGATGGAAAGGGCTTTTAGGAGGTGTAGTCAATAAAGCTGCATGTACAAGGGGTGCTAAGAGCAACATATGAAAGTTATTTGATGGGGCACTAAAAGAGTAAATTGTGTCGACCTCTGTGCAATCCAGAAACTACCAAACACTTCTGAGTGCCATCTGCTGGTTAATTCACCATTTCTACACACACATATACACGGCCCCACACTGTGTCAGCTCCTTGAAGGCATCTCAGAGGGGCTGGTGGTCTAATTGGCAGTTATGTCACAGACTAAAAGCTCAATTGCCATTAAACTGGGCCCTTTGTGTTGTCTTCTGGTTTAAAGCTGTGACCCCCCTCAGTCAGTGACTGCCCAGAAACTCGAACTCAACTCCAGAGAAAACCACTGTGTTACTCCAAAACATCTTCGTTTGCTGCCAAAATGCTGAGCCCCTTTGAGGTCCATAAACCTCTATTACTGGATTCTTCCCTGCCCGTGGCAGGGACTGCAACTAAATTATATTTGAGGCCTCTTCCAGCCCAGACCAACCTGTGGTTCTGTGAACAGACGGCACCAGCTGGGCTAGGAAGTTTCTGGTGGAGTTTGTTGCAGTGCACGACCAAAGAACAGGGAACCCCTGCCTGTCAGGGTCTCACCTTTCTGTCATCTCACCGTGTTTGCATCACACTCCTCCACTTGAGGAAATAGGTGTTAGTGTCTCACACTTGGCAGCAGGAGGCAGACACTGTGCATTCCAACAAAACTTGATACTAATATCATTTCCTTGCTGGCACTGATCTGGTGTGAGGTATCCCATCACTTCTGTGTGAGCAGTGGAGCAGAAGAGCAGGGCTGTGATGTTGTCATGGGAAGCACAAACCCCTCTGAAGCAGAGCAACATCGTCCTTAACCATGATGTGGAGCTGTAGCATTTTTTTTCCTGTTCCCTATAACAATGTTTAGCCAAATAATATTGGGGTGCACTGGAAGCACCAGCACACAGTGAAGTGTCCTTCACTTCAAATGGCAGAACAGAGAAAAGCAGAGGCAGCCTGGCTGGTTCCTGCACGTTTCCAATGTCCTGTGTTCTCTGTTTTATTAAAGGAAAGCGTGGACCTGGGCGAGATCATGTTTTCCCTTTGTTATTTGCCAACTGCAGGTCGCCTCACCTTAACAGTCATTAAATGCAGGAATCTCAAAGCTATGGACATCACTGGTTACTCAGGTGGGTGCTTGGTGGCTGAGGAGGATCCCATTGCATCCACATTTCCTCCTCCTTCATGGTATCCTCCACAAATGGTGGGTTTATGTCTCTTGATGCCAGGGCTGTGTCATCATGGAAACACCTGACAAAGCTTTGTCTGTGATTTATGCATGAACAAAACTTTAAAAGTAGAGTTCTATTTCAAACTTGTTCTCAAGAGCCTGAGCCCAGGGAAGGTGACTGCATACAGGGATACACAATTCATGGGGCCTGCCAGTGGTTTCCCATCCCCAGTGAAGGGTTGGCAGGGTCAGAGCTCTGATCCATCTCTTGGGTTGGACACAGCCCTGTTGCAGACACTGACCCCAGCAGTTTTGTGAGAATAAAGTGTTTTCCACCAGAGCATCCCCTGCAGCCAGAATCAACCATTTCACCCCAAAATTAGCAAAGGATCATGGGCCACCTAGGTACATCCCAGGGAGATGTCCATTCCTCTGTACAGTGGCCAGTGCTCAAACAGAAGGATCACAGTCACCTGAAGACTGTTTGCATTCGCAGTTCCCAAGAGCTGATCTGTAAATTCAGAGTGCACAAACTCTGGTTTTTCATCATAAAAAGCAGTTTCTTTTCCGGAGATCAGCATTTGAATTTCATTGTACAAAAGGCAATAACAACACACACCTTTGCAGGAGATGTTTCTGCTCAGCTGGAGCTTGGTGCCTTAT